AAATAATGATAAACAGAATGCGTGGAGCACCTTTCAACACAATCCCTAGATATTCAAAAGACAAGTACTGACCAAATGACACTTGCTTGCATTGATAGACATCTTTAAATAGAGCAGCTACTTCTAAACTTCATGACTTCTTTTTCTTAAATATATACATGCATGTGTGTGTATTTAAATATACACAGTACACACACATATTATGTAAACAAAAACTTTTATTTTGGATGCGATTAATCGTTTGGCAGCACTACTTTATTTCCTACCTTTCTCATTAAAAAAAAAATTATGTAAAGCACTTTTAACACTATATGAAATGTGCTATATAAATAAATTTGCCTTGCCTAAAAATCTTATTTATCTGTTTTTGCATATTAATGAGTTTTTGCATATTTATCGTGTCACTCACAGGATCTTATATGCCATATAAACCAAATTATAATTTTGTTCTTCATATTTTATATATTTAGTGACTTAATGTGAGGAATATTCCATGAAATATGGAGGAAAAAACATTTCAGATGGTTACTCTTTGTGCAGGTCATAAATTATTTTGTTGGTAGATGTTTTTTTTATCTTCAATCCCTCATAATTTATTTTCAGTAGATTATAATTTAAACACAAATTAATGTTAACAGGACAGACTTTTGCATTTTGTTCTAAAACATAAATTACATTCCATAAAATTTGAAGCCACTGTTCTTTAAAGTTGCGATATAAGGACTAATTCATCAAGCATGTAACATCCTTGTAGAAGTTGTGGTCTTTTTTTTTTTAACAAAACAGCGACTTAAGTAGAGAAAAAGAGAAAAAACGTCTCTTTAAGTAATGATAACCACTGAACCACTTTTTATTTATAAATCCAAAACTGCTGCTCCAAAAACCCATTTTACTGATTGTGAATTAACCTCTGGATTGGCCAACAAATTGACTTTATGAGCTCTATTTGACGTAAACCGTATAATGTTGCAGTTCCTAATAAAGTTAGATTTTATTAGGAAGTTAAAGAGCAGCACTGTCGTTTCCTCAGTCGGTTATTTGCATAATTTGGTTAGACGCAAAACATGCTGCTCGAGTTACGTCTTGATCTAAAATGAGAGACATGCTGTGATGTTATTAGTGCAAACGTTTGAGTCTGTTTTAAGGCTTTGTTAAGTTTGTTCTGTTTGTTTGTGTATCTGGGTGGGTTTCAGTGTTGCTCAAAAACCTTAATTTGCTTGTGTGTGTGTGTGTCTCTGTGTGTGTGTGTGTGTGTGTACTGGTATATATGGTTTATGAGGACACAAATGTGTATAATGATATGGGTTCTACATGGGTGCGTGTGTGTGTGTGTCTCTGTGTGTGTGTGTGTATGTGTGGACTGGTATATATGGTTTATGAGGACACAAATGTGTATAATGATATGGGTTCTACATGGGTGCGTGTGTGTGTGTGTCTCTGTGTGTGTGTGTGTATGTGTGGACTGGTATATATGGTTTATGAGGACACAAATGTGTATAATGATATGGGTTCTACATGGGTGCGTGTGTGTGTGTGTCTCTGTGTGTGTGTGTGTATGTGTGGACTGGTATATATGGTTTATGAGGACACAAATGTGTATAATGATATGGGTTCTACATGGGTGCGTGTGTGTGTGTGTCTCTGTGTGTGTGTGTGTATGTGTGGACTGGTATATATGGTTTATGAGGACACAAATGTGTATAATGATATGGGTACTACAAAACATAAACATGTTTTATGAGGACACTTCCTGTGTCCCCGTAAAACAAAAGGCTTAAAAAACATACAAAACGGTGTTTTATGAAATTCAAAAATTGCCAGTAGTTTTGAGTGTGTGTGTGTCTTGCACTGACTTCCATTGCATTGTGCGTGTGGTTCCTGTAGGCTTCTGTGTAATGTGTGATAAGAGGAGAGGAAATCCTGTCCATTCCCTCTTGGCCTCTGATTTTTTTTTTTCTGACCTCTGATCCAGCTCATTGGTGACTGATGCTGTTTGGAATATAATTGCACAAAAAGGCAGATCCATTGAATGCAGTGCTGTTCTGTTTCCTGCTGACAGAACCAGTGTGTTTCACTCACAAACATGCATGAGGGAGTCATCAAACCTCAAGCTCAAGCATTGTTGATCCATCTCAAACCGGTTTAGGTAGTCATTAGTCCATCTAATGCTGTGCTGTCCTCCTCAGGTGAAATGGACCATGGAGGTGCTGTGTTACGGCCTGACGCTCCCGCTGGATGGAGACACGGTTAAGTTGTGTGTGGATGTCTACACTGACTGGATAATGGCCCTGGTGTCTCCACGAGACTCTATACCCCAGCCCATCATCAAAGAGCCCAACCTCTACGTCCAAACCATCCTCAAACACTTGGTCAACCTTTTCCTGCCCAGGTGTGTTCAGCCTATGGTTTTAATTACCCATGATGCACTGTGCACCAAACTGTTCCGTGACTGCATTGATGAACACTGCATACTGCACACTTTGTACTGTACAGTACCTACAGTATTTATATATTTTTTTTTGGATAATAGTATGGGAAACATTGCACAGTATGCAACAATAATTTCAAACATTATTATGCTTCATTGATGTTGTAACATTTATTTCAATGAGCGGTGTCCACTTAATATCTCATAAAATAAAAAACAATTATTTTGTATGTTTTATGCAGTTTAATGAAAAAGTGTCTAATGCAGCTCAAACAAACAATGATAGATAGATAGATAGATAGATAGATAGTTATAATTAAAAATATATATTAAAAATCTTGTTAAAAGGCTTGAGTTGAAAATTTTCAGAATAAGAAAATGATTACTTTTTCCTTTGTACTGCTATATGATAAATGTATGTAAAATCTCATTAAAAAAACAAAAAAAACAAAAAAATTTCCCTCATACTGCTATTTGATGAAAGATTTTTTAATTGTGTTTCCTGTTTTAGGATAATAGCTCAGAAATGTGTAATGAAATTACATAAATGCTTCCTTTTCCACAATGTTTTATATATATACACACACTATTAGTGTACTATTATACTTTTAATATACTAATACCTATTATATGTATTAGAAATCTCCTTAAAATGATTAAACATTTAAGCTTTTTAATGATTATCTTTGAAAAAGAAAATAATTTGTTTTGTTCTGATGAAATGGCTCTCCTAGAATATTAACAATATTATTTTTGGATTTGAGCATGTGATGATAGGCTTGTGTTCTGTCTAGTAAGTGTAGCACTTCCTGTTTGTGCTTTCTGATTTTGAATATTCTTGCTTCTTTCTTTCAGACCAGAGCACTTCAGCCTGGTGCACTTTAAATTGTGTCAGCAAGTGCTGTCAGCAGTGCAGAAGTTGGCACGTGACTCGAACGGCATGGCCAGAGAGACCTGGGAGGTGCTGCTTCTCTTCCTGCTGCGCATCAATGACACGCTACTGGCCCCGCCCACTGTGGGAGGTGCGTATGTCAAACACAGTGATGTTTCCCTCTAAAATAGATTTAACTAGGCCTTACATTGACTGACAAACAAATGAGAGAAGGTGCACGCTTTGCATCTAAACAAACTGCATTTTGTGTGCAGTATGCAAATGAACCTCCTCTGACGTAATTGTGTTTTCCGTTTTAAGATAACGAGTGCAGAAATGTGTAAAATTTGCTTTGCTTATTTTTCTGCATTCAAAAATTCTGTTTTTTTTTTTGTTTTTTTTGTCAACCATACATAATCAGATTTATATGACATGTTGAAATGTTGTTTTTACTTTTTGTTGTTTTAATTGTTTTCATATGCAAAAATATCAACAATCATTCATAGATGCAAACTCCTCACCTTTCAGTAATAACTCACTTTTTTTAGATCAAAATAGGTCACCTTTGAGATTTGCTTAGATCCAATGAGAAAGTGTTTTCACGAGGGGAGGGGAGGGGGGTGGGGCGTCTTACAAGGGTAAATAAAGAACTGGGCCCGGTTGCATAAACTATTTAGACTAGTCTTAAAAAGTTAGTAATTTAATTTTTTGGTTGTTTCAATACGTTTTGTATAGTATTTTCTTTACGCCTTACTTTAAAAACTGTCTAAAAAGGGTAATATTTTATGTATTTGAGGTCTGAGATGTGGGAACGGTGAAGAGAGAGAGAGGGCACATTTAGCATTTTAGGTCAGCATTGCCGTGTAATCAACCAATATTGTCTTAAATAGCCTGCAGAGCACTTCATCTTTTATATTATGGGATTTTATTCAATCTTGATTTTTGTAAAATGTTGCAACAAGATGTTAAGAAATTATTTTATTTGTTGTTGGTGGTGTTTTTGTGAAAAATTACAGTTTTGGACATATAAGGTAATACAAAATATTTTTAAAAATACGTTAAAGTAACTACAAATGAGCATGTAAAGCAAATATCTTTAAAAGAAATTCCGTGTGGAGCAAGCCCCCGATCCATGCAAATTTCTCACCTTTTTCCTCCCTTACCTGGTTGCATCTCTGAATCATATTTTGACTTTGCAGCTCCATAATACATTAAGGAAGTATTTCAGCAAAAACAAGCTGCACATATGTGACCCTGGAGCACAAAACCAGTCATAAGTAGCACAGGTATATTTGTAGCAGTTGCCAAAAATCATTAGGATATTAAGTAAAGATCATGTTCCATGAAGATATTTTGTAAATTTCCTACCGTAAATATATCAAAACTCAATTTTTGATTAGTAATATGCATTGCTAAAGACTTAATTTGGACAACTTTAAAGGCGATTTTCTCAATATTTTGATTTTTTTGCACCCTCAGATTCCAGATTTTCAAATAGTTGCATCTCCGCCAAATATTGTCCTCCTATCCTAACAAACCATACATCAATGGAAAGCTTATTTATTCAGCTTTCAGATGTTGCATAAATCTCAATTTCGAAAAATTTACCCTTATGACTGGTTTTGTGCACGCTGTGCACACATTTCTGCTTTTTTTTTTTAATGAAGTGCATTTTCTAGTCTAAAAGTGCTGTTTTCTAAGCAAAAGCTCTGGCTACAAGTCAAAATGAATGGCCCTTGTTCCACTAGTGCTGCTGATCGTGCTGAACGTGTAGACGACAGGTATGGCTGGTTGTGTCTCCTGTAGGTGGAATAGCAGAGAAGCTGGCAGAGAAGTTGATCAGCGTGCTGTTTGAGGTTTGGTTCCTGGCCTGCACTCGCTGCTTCCCCACGCCGCCCTACTGGAAGACGGCCCGAGAGATGCTGGCCAACTGGAGACATCACCCTCCGGTGGTGGAGCAGTGGAGTAAAGTCATCGCTGCTCTCACTTCCAGGTACTGCAGGCCTGCATCATCGCTGCAGCTTTATTTCTGTTCTTTTATTTATAGTTTATTTAACCGGGACAATACAGAATATCATTTCTGCACAGTATTGAGCAGCTAATGCTCTAGGTCAGAGACAAATAAATACAATATAAATAAATGTTTGATATAGGATTTATTTGTTTGTTTGTTTGTACATTAGAATGTGTCCTGTGTATTTATTTATTTTATTTTTTTCTGAGCAAAAAGTAATGACTATCACACATTTTTTACATGCACTAAAATGACATTCAGTGTAACAATATTTCATATACCAAAAAAAATCTTGTCGGGCGTATTTATAACAAGAATCATTGGATGACATTGAAAGACACTATTTAAGGATTCCAGTGCAGCCTTAAAAATCTAATTTTAAATCTTTACCATTCTTTGCCACTATCCTTCAAACCACTAGATTTTTCCCATTTGTCAACGAGACATTTTTAATCTAATTTAAAATATAATAAAATTTAGTATGATCACTTATTCTTTTATATATTTTAATAAGTGCAGGTCAGAATAAGTATGTTGTTTCATTTTTCCTTAAATATCTGTTATGCTGAATGACGATGAAACATTGTTTCACCTGTATTTTTCATAAAAGTTATTTGAAACATTAAAATTTAGCTTTCTATGTATATAAAATCCTGTTTGTAAATTTAATTTGATGCAGACACCAAAATGGGACGTCTTGTCTTTGACCCATATATGCTTCTAGCTGATAGCTTTTACTTTGGCCCTTTCGTTGTTAATGCACTTGTCTAGGTAGTAAATTTATTTATATGCTCAGTCAGAACAAAGTGGGAAAGATGCTTGTTTGTGACACACAATCATTGTGCTTTCAGAAATGCAGGTTCAAATCCTGTACATTAAAGGCAACAAGTTCAAAAAAGAAAATAATTACATGTATAACAGTTTACTCATAGCAATTGAGATTGCACTATATGCACTCAAAATTCATTAAAAATGTTCCAAAACAAAAATTGTTTTAAAATAACTGCTTTTTTTTGTGCAGTTTCATTTGAAAAATATGTACTTTTGCACATAGATTTTCTCAATATTTAGATTTTTTTTGCACCCTCAGATTCCAGATTTTCAAATAGTTGTATCTCCGCCAAATATTGTCCTATCCTAACAAACCATTCATCAATGGAAAGCTTATTTATTCAGCTTTGAGATGGTGTATAAATCTCAATTTCGAAAAATTTACCCTTATGACTGGTTTTGTGGTCCAGGGTCACATATTGCATTAAGATATGCATTTTATCAGGTCATGCATTCTCTTGACCTTGGCATTGCTAGCACCATGCTCTACTGTTAGAGCTACAGGAATCGGTAAAACAGACAGCCTTTTTTGTACTGATGTCGATGCTTTTGTTTGTTTGACCTTCATCTTATTTGTTTTGTTGTCCACACAGGCTGCTGCGGTTCATGTACGGCCCGTCCTTCCCTCCGTTTAAAGTGCCAGAGGAAGACGCCAACCTCATCCCTGCAGAGATGGACAACGACTGTGTGGCTCAGACGTGGTATCGATTTCTACACATGCTCAGGTCTGCAGTCGAACTGACTTCATCTGCTTTACTAGGGCTGTCAAAAAAAAAAATCGAATTTCGGATATTCGTTGAATTTAAAGTAAAAATCCACATTCGAATGCATAAACACTGCATTAGAATTTTAGGTGTGCGTTAAGGAGGCAGCCTTATCGGTGGCGCACGAGATGCGAGGACGATGTAAGTGTCGTTGCATTATAATGTTTTTGTTAGCATATCCAGTTGAAGCCACTAGATGGCGCAGCTGCGTTGTTCATTCAAAATATTGCGAGAAAAGAGAACACCAATGCGGAGAAGATCTTGTTTACATCAAAACTGAAACCACGCATATTTATCGCATTTTCTAGAGGGACATCTATCACCGTTGCACTCGCGTCTCGCACAAGAGAGCCACATGTTTAGAAAGCCATGTAAAATGAATGCAAGTTCAACTTTTAAAAAACATGTCTCGAGACATGTCTCCCATCTCACTGCATCTAATGTTTTTAAATGAAAAAGGACTATTTGTGATTGGTTTTCGGTCTTTTGTATTAAACTATACATACATACATGATGCTGTTTTGTTTCAAATCGTTTAAGCAAATTAATTATTTATATATGGTTTAAAAACATTAATTTAAACATGATGCACTTTTTTTTAAAGATAGTCGTGTTATGTTATTGCTTTGAAGAAACGTGCATTAGTAATACTTTGCTGAAATTATGCCTTTTAAATTAGAAAATAATTCGAATATTGATAATATTTAAAGGGGTCATATGATGTTGCTAAAAAGAACATTATTTTGTGTATTTGGTGTAATGAAATGTGTTTATGCGGTTTAAGGTTCAAAAAACACATTATTTTCCACATACTGTACATTATTGTTTCTCCTCTATGCCCTGCCTTTCTGAGACGTGTCGATTTTTACAAAGCTCATCGGTCTGAAAAGCGAATTGTGCTCTGATTGGCCAGCTATCCAGTGCATTGTGATTGGCCGAATACCTCAAGCGTGTGACGGAAATGTTATGCCCCTTACCATATTGTGATGCCTTGAGCAACGAGACAAAAACATTAAAACCCATTATAAACGAGGCATTTGTTGCATCCAGTGGGGACATAATTATGGATTATAATGACTTATACTGTCTTTTTACGCGTTGCGTTGCATCGCGCCGCGTAAACATAAAACCAGAAATCTAAATCTAGTCGTGTCCTCTTTTGGAAGACCAAACAAAGTAGTTTCGCTTTCACAACGAAACACAGCGT